CTAACCTTGTGTTGAGAAAGAAAAAATCTTGAGAAAAATCCTTTTAGAGAGAGAATATTGGGAGTGAAAGAGGGCTTTTTGACCTTAGTAGTCTCATTTTCATAAGGTTTCACCTGAATGATTTCTTGGTCAAACATATTACCTATATAATGCATAACGACGCGGTACTGTGGGAATCACTTTAGGACGTGACACTTTAGCAACCGCGTCCTTTGCAATTGTTCCTGACCACTGGAACGTGATACCCTGACAATCACGTCCTATTCCCAAGACGCGGTACACTTTCAGCCGCGTGTCTGTGGGTCCCATCCTAAAAAGAATTCAACAGGAAGCGGTAGTGTATAAGTCGCGTTCCAGGTTACAAGTCAAGTCGGAGTCAAGCAGATATATATATTTCACCTAAAATTTAGACATATTGATATATTCACGATAAAAGAGTTCAAAAAATCCAATAAAAGCAACAAGTTATTTTTGTACAAAATGGTTTTTATAGTTGCTAGCAATTTATTCTTTACTGGTTAGAAGACTAACTCTCAAACCAGAGAATATTTAATTTAGAAATTTACTAACAATAAAATTATAATTATTATAATTTTAAGGTGTTGGATGAAGGTCTTTATAATAGTTTATATTATTCACTTACACACTCATTCATACAAAAGCCCTTTGGGCTTGAAGTATGAATTTTGCATAGATTCTATTTTTTTTGTTTACCTTAATATAAATCATTACAAAAACTCTCACTCATCACGTTAAAATTTTGGATTAAATTGTTTCTTTCACATATTGAAAATTGGGAAAGCAGACCAAACACGAAACAGGGGTATAAGATTGGGTACTATTGGATTTATTGGATTTTATGTACTCTTTTACAATGAATATATCAATATGCCTAAATTTTAGGTGAAACATATATATCTGCTTGGCTCCGACTTGACTTATAACTTGGGACGCGGCTTATACACTATCGCTTCCTGTTGAATTCTTTTTGGGATGGGACCCACTGACACGCGGCTGAGAGTGTACCGTGTCTTGGGAATAGGACGTGATTGCTAGGGTATCACATTCCAGTGGTCTTGGGAATAGGACGTGATTGCCAGGGTATCACGTTCCAGTGGTCAGGAACAAATGCAAAGCACGCGGTTGCTAAAGTGTCACGTCCTAAAGTGATTCCCACAGTACCGCGTCGTTATGCATTATATAGATAATATGTTTGACCAAGAAATTACTCCGGTGAAACCTTATGAAAATGAGACTACTAAGGTCAAAAAGCCGTGAAAGAGGGATAGAGAGGGGGGTATACATAGACTGCACATAACTATCCACGCTGCGCAGCGTGTTTCATCACATGATGACGCGTGCCACTGATGCATATAACTCTCTGTATTGTGCAGCGTATTTCATCACCTGATGACACATGACACGCATGCATGGACTGGTTGGACACGAGTCAAAAAGTTATCCCTAACTCGCTGGACAATTTGGAGAGTTATGCCACGTGGACAGCTTTTTTAGAGAGCGAGGTCTGTAACTAGGGGTGTTAACGGGTCGAGCCGAGCAGAGTTTTGGTCTTAAAAGGCTAAGCCTGTGTTTAAATGTGTCAGACCAAGCCTGTTACCTGTTATAAATATTATTATCAGTCTGTGGCCTGACTTATTTACAAAATGTAAAAGCCTGGTTTTTTTAAAAAAATAAAATAACAAAAATTTATCCAAACAGAATATACAATCAACAACATTAGTAATTCCATAAATATCATAAATTCAATATATATCCAAACAGCATAATATAGAACAAAATCATTCAAAAAGTCTATTTAACCAATAAAATGGGATGAAATAGATTGAGAAGAAAGATAGGCTATTACAAGTAATATAAAAAATAAAAAATAATATATTAGGCCAGCTTGAGAGGCCATAAGGCTGAGCTTTTGAATTAGAGCCTGAAGCCTTTTTATTAAACGAGCTTTTCTACAAGTTCAAGCCTGGTGCCAACAACCAATTTTAGACATGTAAGCTCAGGCCTTCACGAGCCGAGCCAAATACCCCTAGCTCGTTTAACACCCCTATCTGTAACGCTGACGTGGCCTAACTCGCTGCACTGTGCAGAGAGTATGGTGGCCTCAAATAGCGTGCCACGTGTCCAAACGTAACTCACTATGCATTGTAGCAAGTTAGGTGACATGACATTTAGACAAAATTTGATTCTGGGATAAAATTCCAATGAATAATTAAGAATATTGTGACAAAATGATCGTTGTCCCATGTAATTTCTGCTTCCAATCAATAACTTATATTAAAAGCAAAAGTTATTTTAAAGGTTGTTCTCAGAACCCTTGCTTTTCATAGTTGTTGCCATTTCAGATAATTCAATTAAGAGAAATTATAGGAAGTAACCATCACCGTTCTGTAACTAGTTAAATATAAACACTGTAATTATGACATTGTTAAGGCCAACCATAATACTACTTGTTGGTACTAGTTTATGTATGACCTTGTAGAACACATGTTTGAAGTGAAAGGAATTTACGCGGGAAGGGAGTAAGAGCAGAACAAGTGTAGCAATGCAAGGCAATTCATGTTCCGAGTCATGTGACTCTTTCTGAGCATAATTCTGGGACATAAGTCCCCTCAAGATTAATATTGCTGGCAATTCTAAATTGAGTAATTAACGTTAATTATATCCATACATGACGATCAAAGAACCAAATTTTGGTCACATGAAATAATTGGGCTTTTTGACCCTTATGCCCCTTAATTAATAATTAATTACCAAATTGCCCCTCATTCAAAACTATTTCGAAAATTTACCCTTCCCAACAAACATAACACCAATCTGCCCCTGTTTGACCGTTGACCGCGAAGCCTACCCGGGTACACCATTACCTACCCGGGTAAATTTTGAAACTTTTTATCTACCCGAGTATGTAGGGGTGTACCCGGGTAGAGTTCTTGAATCTGGGAAAATGTTTGAATTATTTACCCGGGTACGGAGCAGTGTACCCGGGTAAACATCGACGGTAGGGTTTTAAAATACCCCAGCAGCCCCATTTCGAAAACCCACAAAAGGGGTACCCGAGTAGAGCTGCTGGAGGAGTGTCATCTTGAGCGATTTCAGGCAGAATCTTGCACTAATTCGTCTTGTTTGTGATCATCATTCGCGGACCTTGCAACCTCTCTGCCTTCTACCGATTGAAATCGATCAAAGGTGAATTTTTTTTTCAGTTTTTTCAATTATGTTATGATTTCTGTTCTGATTCATTGTATTTTCGTTTATATCATTTGATTCTGTCCGAATTATTTTATCAATTTGTCTAACCCTAACCCTAACCCTGAATCTAACCCTAACCCTAACCCTAACCCTAACCCTAACATGTATCTAATTTCTGATTTTGGTTATTTTTTCAGTTTAATAGTGTGACACAATGACCTCTCGACGCGTTTCAAAGCTGCCAGTGACCCATTCCGAGAGAAGAACCAAGAGTCGTCACGATGGGTCGTCATCCTCTCAGCCCCAGGCTGCTTCGAGTCAGGCTCCGGACTTGACGTTCGGATATTTGTTTGAGGATGACATTCCTTCACACGAGAAGTTCGTGAAGTTTTTCATGACCCGGAAGATCTGCGAACCGAAATCACTGGATTCGGCATTCTTCAACCTAGAGCGTTTTGACATCGTGCCGCTTCTTGAGCAGACACATTTACTTCACCTGGCGGAGATGCGGTGCCCATACTCGGAGGTTATGGTAAGAGCCTTCTACCAGAACCTTGGCTACTCGCAAGGCGAGCTGACTTCCCGTGTCTGCGGGATTGATATCATCATGACTGCTCCTATCTGGACGGAGCTACTGGGGTTCGATTTTGATGGTGTCACAGGAGCAGCACTATATGATGGAGACAGCCATCATATATTTGGAGATTATAACCGGGAGACCATTGTTACAGAGACTAGGAGGGCAGACGCTGAGCCCGGTCATTTTGCTCATTATCCTGTTAGCAACTTGTCAGTTTCTGCTCGCATTCTTCATTATGTGGTGACACATATTATTTTCCAGCGCCCGCATAATCACTCAAAGGTGCTGGAAGGGGACTTTGTCATCCTGTGGGCCCTCCTTCACAGTCAGCAGGTGAACTGGAGGCATTACATATGCATACTGATGTGGAAGGCAGCCAAGTCAAAGAAGGCTGAATTGCCTTTTGCATTTCTGGTGCAGAAGATTCTGCATAGATTTGGAGTGCCTATGGCAACAGAGATTTTCATCGTTTTTGTTTTTCCTTCAAATCGGACACCGTTCGGACCTTCAAAATGCCTCCCATTGTAGTAAACAACTATAGGAACCATGTTTGGACTTGAACTCATCTTTCACACAAAAATTAGATCTAGGTTTTGGGTTTGGAGGTTGGTTCAGATTTTTTAGCACAAAATGGGAGTGTGGAGATGTAATCTCAATGTCCCCCCAAGATTCAGCTTTCTGAAATGATGAGATGAAATATGTGTGATGTTTCGGATTAGAGAGGGTAAGAGAGAAAGATTTGGGGTTTCAAAAACCCTATACCTCGCAACAATGGCCGAAACCCATACATATTGGGGTTTCTGGACGCGATTTACCCGGGTACACTGCTACGTACCCGGGTAAATAATTCAAACATTTTCCCAGATTCAAGAACTCTACCCGGGTACACCCCTACATACTCGGGTAGATAAAAAGTTTCAAAATTTACCCGGGTAGGTAATGGTGTACCCGGGTAGGCTTCGCGGTCAACGGTCAAACAGGGGCAGATTGGTGTTATGTTTGTTGGGAAGGGTAAATTTTCGAAATAGTTTTGAATGAGGGGCAATTTGGTAATTAATTATTAATTAAGGGGCATAAGGGTCAAAAAGCCGAAATAATTGCCAGTTTGCCTATTCAGCTAATCTAGTTGGAATAAGTTGGGAATAAAAAAGAAAAGTAGTATAATGTGAACTCAAATTATCTTCAGATACCAAAGTTAGTGAGTGCCAAAAGAGAGAAAAAGAAAAGGCAAAACCAAAAAAGGGAACATAACCAGCTCTATACACCAATGAGTCTGTAAATGAAAGGGAATAAAGTGGTAGCATAAGCATATACACCATCACACCCTCAGCACTTTCTGCAACAAAAATCTTCAACTTTATAGTCATTCTCTTTCGATTATTCCATCAACAAGGTCATCACCCTTCTTCATTTCCCCTGCTACATAAATCTAATCAACAATTAATTCTCACAACCACATTTCAGCTGAAAATCCACTGTTATTTTCATCCCTCTAAACCCACAAAAAGATTAAAAAAAAAAAAAGTATTTCCAATTTCCAATTCCAAAATAAAAAACAAAGCAGCATGAGAACCAAGTGAATTTCTACCAAGCATTGTGTAGAAAGACAAAAACTACTAATTACAGTAAAAAGGAAATTTTTTTTAACTATACTCAAAACTCAGACCGAGTTAGAAGTGGACTCGTCCAACCCACTACTGAGTCGACCCCGAGTTCGATGACCCAACCCCGAGTCAAGTAGCTCCTCCCAATCCACATCCTCCTCTTCTTTATCCTTACCTCTCATCATCTCCAATATCCTTCTCACCTTCTCCTTAGCCCTCTCACTCCCCATCTTCTCCACCTTTTGCATCACTTCCACCACTCCGGCCGCCTTAGCCACCGCCTTAAACCTCAACCCGCCGTGACTCAGTGCATACATAACCGCCACACAACTCTCCCGAGTCGACCCGGACCCCAACTCGGTCCTACTCAACAGCCCCACCAAGCATTCAACCGCACCCGCATCCAACATTGCAGCCCGCCCATCCGACCCGTGACCCAAATTACCCAATATTAACAGGATCCGACCCGTCATATGACCCGACTTAACCATGCCCAAAAGAACAGGAACCGACCCGAGTTTAACCATCTTGGCCCGGTTGCTCTGCACCAAAGACAAATGATAAAGCGCCAAGGCCGAGTCATGGCGAGTTCGCTCGCTCTCGGATCGGAGCATGTGAATCAACGGCGAAAGAGCACCGAGAACTCCAATGGCGGTTTTGTTGTCGTCGTCGAGTGCCAAACTGAAGAGTGCACCGGAAGCGTGTTCCTGTGCCTCAGAGGATCCACACTTCAAAACATCGATCAACGGTGGAACGATCCCTGACCGCACGATCTTCACCTTGTTCATCTTCTCCAACGAGAGGTTGACCACTGAAGCGAGAGCGTTGACCTGAACGTTGGTGTACTTTGACACAATTAGGGAACGTAGAGAAGAGAGTAACTTGGTTGTGCAAAGTTGAACCCTTCTTTCTTCTTTTGTTCTTGTTATTTTTCTCAGCGAAACCAGTGCTTCTTCGATTATGAAAACTTGTGGGTTTCTTAGTTTTGCCATGATTTCTTCTTCTTCAGGTGTAATTGTTGTTGTTGTTGTTGAAGGTTCGATTTCTGAGGAAGAAGGTGAAGGTGAAGAAGAGGAGCAGCAACTGGGTCGAGTTGAGAGTTGAAGAGGTGGGGTTGAAGCTGAGGTTGAAGCTGTGGCTATGGATTCCTCGGATGAACTCGAATACAAGTGTGTTTGTCGAATAGGGACTTCGGTTTCTGCATGGTTGAAGAATTCCAATGGTGGGTTTTCCTTCACTCCTTCAATCATCAACTTTTTCTCCGAAGCCTCGACGGCACCTACGTTTGTGTCTGGTTTCTTCGAAACCATTAAGGTTCGTACGAGGTTCTCTGCAGAGGTGGTCGGATTGTGTGGGAGTGAAAAGGTTGTGGTCTGGCACCATTTGAGAATGGAGGATTTGAGGGCGAGGTTGGGGATCACGGTGGAGAAATCGGGCATGGTTCCATCGGAGAGTTGAGGTGTAAAGTTGAGATTTTTGCAGGCTTGAACGGAGGAACGGTCGAAGGAGTGGCCTGAGGAAACGATCACGGGGTCTTCCATGAGAGAACCTGAAATGGGGCAGAGGAACTCTTCAGGGGGGTTTTGGGTTTTGTTGGGTTTTGAAGATGGTGGTGGTGGTGACCTTTGATGGTGGAAGAAGATCTTCTTCCATCTCAGCCTTGGAGGAGTACCGTTGATTGGTTCTGAAAATTTCTCTGATTCTTTCGCTCCTTTGTGTGAAAACCATAATTTCTTGGGTGTGTTATGGTGAACCATGAGCTGCTTCACACTCTGCTGCTGAATCTCCATTTAATGAATGGCTTAACTTGTGTGTGTGTGACTCTCAATAAAGTTGGTCTTTGCTGTGTTCAAGTGTGAAGAAGAAGTTGAGAGTGGAGGATAAAGATTCCATTTTTTTGAACTTTTGAAAATAAGAGATTAGAGGGGATTTCATGAGAGCACCAACAACATCGGGTTTTTTGTTGTTGTTGTTGTTGTTGTTGTGATTTTGAAGTTTTATGAGATTCCTAAAATCAAGGGAAAGTTTGGTTTTTGCGGAAGAGATATGGATGAGGCGAGGGGTATGTACATGTTAGTGTTTTAGTTTAGGTGATAATTTGGGTCTATTGGGTACTGAAGTGAGAAGAGAGAAGAAAAAAAAAAAGGGGGAAAGAGAATGGTTTTGTGACGAAAATGATGATTTGGTGTTGCAGTTGCAGGAAAGGGTTTTGATTCCTTTGCTTTCTGAAAATCAATGCCAATTGGAAAAGGAAAAGTTGAGGTGAGTGATAATGTTCCGAAAGAAACAAACCAGGAAGGGATTGAGCATTACATTAGTCACCATAACCAATCATGGTTAATAATGTTTGTAATTCCTTTTTCTCTCCCTAAACTCGCCCTGCTTATCAAAATTTCTCTCTCAATTTCACAATGGGGTTTGGGATATATTTAGTAAAATTTATATAAGTTAAATTTTTAACATATTCTAATTTTTTTTCTAAATCCCAAAATAACATTATTTTAGCATTGTTAAAGATAATCTTATCTAAAAAAAAAAGTATTTGATTAGTTAATGTTTTATATTTTAATTAACTTATTACAGTTTTGAAATTGCTGGAAATAATTTTATAAAAAAATAAATAGTTGAGAAGTTTATATTTTAAATTTAAATTAACTTATCATGAAGCTTGAGGAGATACGATGTTATTAAACACGCATTAAACACTTGAGATTAAATTTGGATTAACTAAAATTATTTTACAAATCTTTAAATACTAGTTATTATAGTATTAAACTTTGAATGACCGCAGAAAAGGGAAAAAACAGCAAGAAAGATAGTAAATTAAAATTGGATCTTAAACATTTTGTGTTAAATGTAATTTGATATTTTAACTTGTATAACTTTCTGGTAGAATATTTTAAACTAATTAAAATATTTATCTGGTCAGAATGTCCGTTTCTGTATATTATTTACTCGTCAGTATGCATAATTCTTAATTAAGAAATTGCTTATGAGTTATAACTAAAAAAATCTAATACATTATATAGTTATTATATATCAAATATAATGGTATCAAAATATCTATGAATTACTAAAAATTTGAAACGCTAAATCTGCCAGAAAAAATATAAAATAGAATTTTAAATTACAATTACGACTGTTACATGTTGATATGATCAATTATGATTGATAAAATCCACAATAACGACACGATTCGTTATAGCGACAAATATTGTGACCATCAACAGAGTAAAAAATGCTTTGATATTTTTACTTTTATGTATGGCTGCACAATGCAAAGACAGCGTGGAAAATAAAGATAATTTTATTTCTTATATATATAAAAATGTGTGAGTCCTACGTGGGGGTAATGTGAGAAAAAAAGAAAGAAAAAAACACATGAATTTCATACATTTTTATGTATATACAAGAGATGATATAATATGAAAAACTTTAATCCTTTAGTTTTGATATAAAAAAAAAAACACCAAAACAAATGTGGCTTCCATCTGGCTTTGTTTCTTTCTCAAATTTTCTTGATGGTCTAATCTTTTTATTTTGGTCCAGCATTTGATGCAAACTTCTAGAACAGAAGCGTCCAAGCTCATGAGTGCGACACATTTATTCCATCTCTTACCTATAGAACATTGAACCTTTGAATGTTACCAGCTTTATTATGTTTGAGCAACTTTGGCCTTTTACAAAATTTTGAACATTCAAAGCAATTGCCTCCATCATTTATAATGCCAATAACCAGAATTGTCATAAATATACTTTGCTGTTTGCATTGAGTTATAAATGTTATGAATATAATAGGATCATGATTAATGAGCATGTTTCTATACTCAGATATACTAAAGGGAAGAGAATCCCAAAAGGGAAACTCATGCATTTATGTTATGGAAGAACCCCTATTTTTCCTTGTTCAATGTGGCAGAAGCATTGAATAAATTTTGGCTAAATAGGTATTATACTCTGGGGAGGAAGCTCTAGCAACAGAGGCACTTTCTGTGAGGAAAATGCCACATTTGTTTTTAGGCAACCCCGCAATCAACACCAAAAGTTAAAAGAAAAGGTTGTTTTTCTCTGTCTTCCCTAGACCCCACTTCTTCACTTTGCAACTGTATTTTATTTTTATTTTTGTGCATGTTGCTTTGCATGGAGAATGTTGTTTTTTCCAACTAAGTTACACATTTTCGTATAACTATTGCAATCTTAATAGCTAAGTCTCTGTAGCACTAAGCACACTATTATGGACCTTTATGAGTGTTCTAGGCTGTGCATATCTCGAAATCCCTTTGCTAAAAGTAATTGATTCCTTTTGTGTTTTCCTGGCCCACCCCATTCCCCTCCTGAGATCATATCGATGTTTACTTTCTCTTTAAATTATATTATATTTTTGCCAAAATTTCAACATGATAACAGTTTTGCATTCTTCCGTAAGTGGATTCATAGTTGTGTTCCACATTACCTTAAGCTTCTGTCTTACTTCACATTCACAATCAACAAGGCTACACAAAAAGACTTAATTATCGGGTGGATCCACACAGCGCGTCAAAAACCAAATAGTCCATCTTGCACTTAGAATAAATGTTCCATGAGTCCAAGGTCGGAGAAACTAATGTCTACCTTTTGTGTGTGTGTGTGGGTCTTTTGTGATTTTACAAATAATTATATAAAATTTAAAATGTTTTATTTCAATTTATTTTGATTCCATGGGAAGTCTAATACTTAATTTGAGGAAGGATAGGTTAAGCTAAAATTAAGAAGAAAAAAATTGCCCTATGAGATTCAATTCAGAGATCAAGCATTTTCCTTGTATTCTGAAATTTTTTATATAATCTAATTTGATCAATTTTGTTGTTGGCTTGCATTATTGCCAATGGTTTGTGCTATACCGTTTCTAGAATGTGGAGTTATTGTTGGCAAACAATACGGGCTTTAGTAGAAGTCAACAAATTTGAACTTGCTAAACATGCTGCGCCTTGAACTTTAGATGAATAAAAAGAAAGCTCTACTTTCCATATTTTCACTTTGTTATACCCCTTTTAGTAATAGTCAACAATGTACCTTGTATTATTTTATATGTCTTTGCCGTAGAGAATTGGGATCCAATAGGGGTATAGGTAGGGGTGTCAATATGGGTTGACACGACACGAATTCGACACGACACGAATTCGACACGACACGAATACATCAACACGAACACGATACGAATTTTCATTCGTGTCAAAATCTTCAACACTGACACGACATGAATTTTTTGCGGGTTGACACGACACGACACGAATAACACGCAAAATAGGGGACAAAACGGTAATTGACAAAAAAATTTAAAAAAATAGATCGAAAATAAATAAAAAATAAAAAATTAATAATAAAAAAATAAAAAATTAATAATTAAAAATAATACGGGTCGACACGAACACGAATTCATAAACACGAACACGACACGAATTTTTTGCGTGTCATTTTTTCCAACACGAACACGACACGAATTTTTTTACGGGTCAACCCGAACACGAATTTTCGTGTCGTGTCGCGAGTCGACCCGCGTGTCAAAACCCATATTGACATCCTTAGGTATAGCTAGAGATATGCTCATAAAGAATGTCATTTGCATTAGCAAACTATGTGCGGAAGTTCAAGCCTACTTTTGTTGTACATTGAAATAGGAAGCATTAGGTGGGTCGATTGTTTGATTCCCGTGACATTTTCTCTTTTCTTCTTGCATAAATTGATCCAAGGTTTTTAATGTGCAGCTTGGTTAGGAGAATTCTGTTACATTGCTCAATAAACCAGGATAGAGATACTAGTGTAGATAAGGGCAAAATGTCTATCATTTAAAAGGATAGTCCTTTTAGATGAATATAGTGTGTGTTTTTTTAAATTTTAAATTATAAATATTTTTTTTTTCATTTTCTTTCTCCCATATTTTTTATTTTTATTTTTTTAAAAAGGATATAAATGTGTATTCTTTAAAAAAACACACATTTTTTCCGATAGATAAATATGAACTGACTTATGATGAATTATGTCGTGTATACAGTAAAGAAATGAGGATACATGATGGGTGTGGGGTGTGAGAGAGTTTCAGGGAGTTAATGAGATAAAAAATTATGTGCAATGTAGATATTGAAGAAGCATGAGGTGTGTGATTAGGATGTGGGGTTAGTGCCAAAAGTAATTATTTAAAAAGAGTAAAAAGATATTTTGTAATAATAATATGTGTTAGATATGACTCATACTTTATATTCTGATAATAATTTTTATTGGCAGAATTGTAGAAAAAGCCAAGGGGATCATGCTCTTCGGTGAGCGAACAGGGTCTCGGGTAGCCACCTTGTTAAGGGTGTGGGGGCAGTACTCTGGAATCGAGTAGGTCTTATATTGTTGTGAGCTTCATATTTATTTTATTTTATTTAATTTTTAGTACTTTTGGTTTGCAATCATAAATAGCTAATGTTGTTTAGAGTTTTTAAATCTATTTATATTCGTCTTGTAAATTGAGTATTTTGTAACAAGTGTGGTGAGAAGAATACAGTTAAGATTGACGGACTTAGCTCATATTGGATGAATAAGAATAAATCTGTCTCCACTTTTTGTTCTAGTATCTCTTCTTAATTTGCCATTATGTGTGTGTAATCGTTCGGTGCCAACATCATTTTGTCTCGACAATTACATAAGTTAAGCTATGTATTTTTCTGTTGCAGAATGATCCAAAGTGAGTTAATTTCCCTCGCCTGTGCCTACACTGTTATTTGTAATTTTGTTGTTTTATGTTTCCTAATGATAATTAAAAAAAAAAAAAAAAAAATCCCATTGTTCTCGCATAATAACCTTGTTTTGGTTATTATGAATAGTTATAATGCCACTTGCATCTAATTCGTTAAGCTCTGATTTACCCACATCCAGTTGCAATACTTACTTATGCTCATTATGAAACCAGATCGCTAGAGAGTCTCCACTTGTTTATTTACTTTCGATAAATCCTCAAATATTGCCCCATTTTGAAGAGAAGCCTTGACATAACCATTGGTATTATCTCCACGTAATCCAGATGTTAGAGGTTATAATTATGTAATTAGTCTATTGGAAATGCAAAATAATGGATCCAACAGTATCGAACTGTACTAATCGAATAATAATCTGTAGGTATATAAAAAAAATTCAAAATAAGATTGACCAATAAAAATTCACTAATGCAAAGGGAAGGAATTTTATATCAAGTGTTCATCTTCTTCTCTTCTAGCAAGGTGGATGATGATATAAAATAATCCA